TGAAGTCGCTCTGTTTGATGCTATTGCTCTTGCGTCCTCGAGCCATTTTGCTTTCGTTCCAAATCCAACTCTTCGCAAAAAAGAAAAATGGCCATGCATATAATTTCAATCCATGACATTAAAAATTAAACTGGAACAAGATTAAACTTAACAGCTTTGCAGACTAGGAGCCAACTGGGTCTGCTTGACGCAAACTTCACTCCAGAGAAATCTTAACACGAGGGACACAGAGGTCAGGCAAAAAACGTTCACTGCAGCGTTTTGGTTGAGCTTTTCTGTAACACCGAAAGGTGGCAAACCTAATTATTTTGCAGATAGGTTTTTAATGGTTTAACTCCAAACTAAGATACAAATAGCACTAATTTTCCACTAAAAAGCCTTAACTTTAAGCTTTTCAACACACCCATTGTTGTCACATCTAGTTCTTCAATCCGCTGCCAAGAAGCGTTGAAATTTATGCAATATTTTAATAAGCGGAAAGGAAACACTCATTGCAACATTGCATAACAGCACCCAAATATTCCAATAAGGCTCGGAATGAGGCATCAGGAAGTACTGCTGAAACGCTCCTGAGTGACCACACCTGGATCACTTCACCAAACGTGAAACCTCAGCTTTCCAACTGCAGAAAGCACAGCTCCTCACCCGCACCCCTGTTAGACAGCAAACCCCTGTCCCCGTGGAGGTGGCAGCTCCCACAGCAGGCGGGTCCACAGCTGGGAATTTAATCCCACCCCCCCAGGTAAACGCTGCACCCTTCCTCACCTCCCCCATGCAGCAAAAGCACAGTCCCTTAGCCCACACCCCTGCACACAGCTGGAGCAGTCAGCAACATTCACTGCACAAACTCACCCAAACAATTACAAAAAACGCCCCAACAAACAAACAAAAAAAATAACAAACACCACCAAGCTAATAAAAAAACACCACCCCCACAATTCAGACTTTCTGGTTTAAAATCCACCACCAGATGAAGCTCGAGGAAATGGATAACCCTGGAACTTTCAAGATGAACTTGAAAGTTTGAAAACTATTTAATAAAGTTGTCCTACTTCCTAAACATTCACCTAGAGGAATGCAGGATGGGATTTTCTGCTTGCAGCATGCAAGAAGCCTGGAGAAGGAAAGCTGATGAAATTTGAGTGTATCAACAGAAACTTCTCCTGTTAATCACGTGGTGCCAACAACCACCACAATCCCTCGCAGCAACCCAGAGGATACAATTTAAAAGTCATCTCTAAATAAACGAGTCAAATGTCCCAAAACATAAACCCAGCTTCATGTAAATACTTTTACAACACTTAACTGGCATGAAAAATACATCTACTCCAGATTTGAGACATAAAATTTATTTATTTATTCTTTAAAGATCGATCAGTTTCACATTTGTATCACTCTTCCCATTTTTTTGGGGAAACCCTGCAGAAATGGGAGGCAGAGAACGGCTCCCTGTCTAATAAACTTCTTAAAATCAACTGCCAGAACAAGGAGGAGGAAAAAAACCCAACACCCAACCCAAAATCCAACAAAATTCATTCTCTCTATCACTTTTGCCCCAATCCTCCTGCAAGTTTGTCCACACACACGCACACAGACACACAGTTTTACCTTCCCCATCAGAAGGACCAAATCCCATCACATTTTCCTGTATGGAAGCACTGGATTTCTATTCCACTATTGCAGCTCAAGCTCTCTTCAGCTGAGGGGAAAGAAGCTTTCAAAACTCCCCCAAGACGACAAAGCGGCAACAAAACATGGAAGGACCCATCTGGCCCGAGTTCCCATGAGGAGCAGGATGGATTCTCCAGCTCTGAGCACCACCAGGCACAGGGATGGGGACACAGAGCCCCTGCAGGGGCCACATCTGTGCGGGTGGCCTCGGGATGTCACAGACACACACAGCGAACAGGTGTCAAACAGGCCCCCAACTGCTGGTGGGACATCCCACTTCCAACATAAAAAGCTGTAAAAAAACCTCCCCTTTTCTTTTCCTGAAGGGTGGGGCTGGCTGAGGAAGAGGGTGCAAGAGCTTTCCACGTGAATTAAAACAGGGAGCCTTTTTCCCCACTTCAATCAATAAATCCCCAACACTCAGATGAGTTGAGTTACTCCAGAACTTCCATCTCAAGAGCATTTCCTGGCTCTTACCATTTCCCACGCAGCAGATCACAGAGTTAAGGGCCGTTTAGCGATCATAAGACCAGAATAAATGAATGTTGTTGTCCCAGCTCTGGCCACGTTACACCAGGTGAACAAATAATTCCTACATTAGATCTTTTGGTATGGATGCAGCCAGAGAGGCACCAGGGCAGCTTAAAGGTGCCAATTCCCCGCGGAGGAACTACGACAGGACAGCCCAGGGCACCTCCCGTGCCAACAAACACTCTGGAAGTTAATTAAAGCCACATCTCTAAAACCCTTACACTTAAACCCAAAGTTGTTTATTAGCAGCGCTACAGCTTCGGGAAGCAAGGCTCTGCCGGAGTGGGGCACTGGAGCTAATTTGCCACAAGCGAAACACGACACAACCCCGCCAGAAGCCCGCGGGCCCGGCAGGGACGGCCGGCACCGAGGCCAGAAGGCAGCAGTGCCGAGGAGCGGGGGGGGGCTCCCCTCGGGGCCGACCCTCCCAAAACCCAGGAGAGGTTCCCGGGGCACCGCCCCGGCCCGGCCTCCGCACACGGTAACGCGGGCAGCGCCCCCGCCTTCCTCCCGCCCGACACCGCGGGCCGCCCGCGGCTCCGGGAGCGGCGGGAACGGGCCGCTTTCCCCCCGGGCCGCTCCCCCCGCGCGTCCGCGGGGCTCGGGCGCTGCCGGCCCGCCCCGAGCCCCGGCGATCCCGCACCGCCCGCAGGCCGCGGGGCGCGCCCGGCCCGGCCCCAGCCGGCGGGCGGGAGGGACCGGGCCGCCCCCGGGGGCTCGGTGCAGCGCGGCCGCGGCCCCGCAGACTCACCGCCGGTGCCGCAGACTCCCCGCCGGTGCCGGAGCTCCTCAGAAACCCCCCGCGGGTCCCGGAGCCCCTCAGGCCGCCGCCAGGACAAAGGCGCCACCCGCCGCTGCCGCGCGGCGCCGTCGCAAACCGGGGGAGGGGGCAGCGCGGTCGCTATGGCGACGCGCGTCGCTTTACGGCGCGGCGGCGGGCCGCCCGCCATGCCTGCCGAGGCAAGGGGTTGGATCCCGCGTGCACCGCGGGCCGCGCCGCAAGGCACGCCGGGAGTTGTAGTCCCCGGGACGGCGGGAGGATGCGGCCGCTGGGTGGCGCTACCGGACCTGCGCGGGGGAGGGACCGGGACCGGGATAGGGATCGAACCGGGATAGACCGGGATTGGGATCAGACCAGGACTGGGATCAAACCGGGACTGGGATCAAACTGGGATAGACCGGGATTGGGATCAGACCAGGACTGGGATCAAAACAGGAGTGGGATTGGGGGCAGACCGGGATTGGGACCAGAATCAAACAGGGACTGGGATCAGGCTGGGACCAGGACAGATCGTGATTGGGATCAGACCAGGACTGGGACCAGGATAGACCGGGATTGGGATCAGACCGGGAGCAGGATTGGGATCAAACCAGGATTGGGATCAGACCGGGAGCAGGATCAGGATCAGACTGGGATTGGGATCAGACTGGGACAGGGACCGGGATAAGATTGTGGTTGGGATCAGATTGGGACCAGGACCAGAATCAGACCAGCATTGGTATTGGGATCAGACTGGGATTGTGGATCAGACCAGAGGGCGGGGATGGGATCAGACGGGGACTGGAGCTAAGACCGCTCAGGGGTCGGGGTCCCTGTGCTGCACCCCCAGTCCCGGGGCTGCCCTGAGCAGCAGCACTGACGCTGCTCTGCCCTGCTGTTCGAGCACCAGCTCCTGTCAGAGCCACTCCTGCCGCCCAGGAGCACCGGGTCCCACTGCCACCCAGGACCAGAAGCAAGGGGCACTCACAGCCTGGGGCCACAGGGCATCCTGCCCAGCCAGTACCTGGGGCCGTGGGGACTTCCCAGGCTGGGCCCAGGGGAACTGGGCCCAAAAATCCCCTCCCTGCGACTGCCACCACCCTCTGCCCTCCAGATTCCCCCTGGGACCCTTTGTGCTCCTGAGCGAGTCAGTTCTGGGAAGTGACATCAGTCTAGGGAGTTGGGGAATCCAGAGCACATGGTTGGTTCCCGATTTCCCTGGAAGCAGCTGCGGCCTGGCGATGGCCACATGTGTCTGCCAGCCCGGGAGACCAGGGAAGCGGCTGCTGTGGTGTGTCCTCTCAGGCCCCGCGACAGAGCAGGCACAGGGTGGCTCTGGGGACAGGGTGGCACCGCTGTGTGTGACTGGGGCACCAAGGGATGCTGAGGAGCTGCCATTCACTGCCTGGCCACCACCATGGAAAGGGGAGTCCAGGGAACATCTCCAGAGCGGGCAAGGAACCTGGAACTTCCCCGAGGGCTGCTGGAAACCCTTCTGGGGAACCGAGACAGAAGAACAGCCAAGCCTCGGTGCTGTCACCCCTTCCCCTTTCAGGGCTGACGTGTTTATGGCTCGTGGTGGTTGTGGGGGCTCTCCAGGGTTGCAGCCCGAGCATTTCTTCGCGGTCCCAGCCAGGTCACAGCTGCGGGGGCCCTCCGGATTCGTAGCCACGGGGGCTCTCCAGGGCCACAGCTCTGAGGTGCTCACAAAGCCTGCAGCTCTGAGCTGCTGCTGGGAAAACAGAAGTGAAACCTGGAGGTCCTGCCGGGGGAGGGGTCTGCACAGGAGCTCCCCTCCCCGCGGACGACCCCAGCCCCTGCTCCTGCCCCTGCCCGTGACCCCGGGCCGGGGGTCCCGGTTGGCACTGCCCTTGCCCGCGGGCCGGGTGGGCAGCGCGGCGGTTGGGGAGGGTCGGGCGGGGAGAGCTGTCCCGGCCTCGGGGGCGGCGGGGAAGCCCCGGGGAGGGCGGCCCAACGCCCCTTCCTGGGCGGGAACGGACCCGGCCGTTCTTAGGGCGGCGGCGACGGCCGGGGCTCAGCGCCATGAACCGCCCGGGGCTGCTGGGGCTCCTCTCCGCGCTGGCGCTGCTGGGCGTGAGTGGTGCCGCGACGGGGAGATCGGGATCGGGGCAGGGATCGCGATAGGGGCAGTGGCTGGGCGCTCCCTCCCTCCCCGGCGGGCTTTCCGGGAAGGGGACCCGTCTGGCCTCTCCAGCCCGTCTCCCCGGGCAGTCCCGGGGCCGTGCGAGGGCGGCGGCGGGACCGGCAGCGCTGCCGGGCCGGGTCGGGTCCGTCGGTCCGGCCTGCCGGGGCGGAGGAGCGGGATGGGCTGGCCGGGCTCCTCTCCAGGTCCCCCTTCCCACGCGCTTTCGCTTTGCCCCGAGGGCGCGGGCCCGGCAGCCCAGCCCAGCCCGGAGCCGGCCCGGGGGTCCCCACCCGGGATCCTCGGTCGGGACCCCCAGGCGGGCGGGGGCGCTGGAACCGGCTGCCTGCACCCCTTTCACTCCCCCCGCGGCCCCATCGCTGACCCCCCGAGGTGGGGACGCTCGAGGGACTCACGGGGGTCGGCACTGTCCGGTGGTGCTGGGTTCTCGCCCATGGCACCCTCGGCCCGGCTCTCCCTGGCCTGCTGCCCACCGCCCCGCAGCCCTCTCGCACTCCCCGGGATGGCCAGGCTCAGGCGGGTCCACCGGGAGCTGCCGGGATACTGGGGGTGGGCAGCGAGGGGCTGGTTCTGTGCGAGGAACGGTGCTTTGGGTGCTCTCCTGCACTCCAGCTGGCCCAAGGGCTCATTCCCTGCTCCCTCTCCACCCTTCCTTGTGCGGGCAGTCCCCTGCCAGGAGGAGCAAGGCCAGGCCCTGGCAAGCTTTGCATGGATGATGCGCTTGCCTGGGGCTTTCCTGTCCCTTAGGGGCAGTGCATCAGCCTCGGGAAGGGGCTGTCAGTGCTCTGGGTACGGAAGCTGGGTGAATGCTGCTCCCTCAGCCTGTGACCAGAGCGCTGTTGGCAGGGGCGCAGGGTTATGTACCAATCACCATCTAGTAGGAAATCTGAGGAACCGTGGGGACATCCTACCGGAATTGCTGCCACTCCACTTCAAAGAGAGCACTGATGGCATCAGGCAGTGGGTGGCTGCTGCGGTCTGTGGTTAGTGCAGGCGTGGGAAGAGTGGTGTGAGGAAACCCTCACCTCGGGGTGCAGGTTAACACGCACAGTGCCTGTGGAAGCGCAGCGGTGTGGGAGTGCTGGGTATGAATTCACAGGTCCTGTTTCTTCCAGTGCTGGGAGCCTGGTGATGCCTTAACGTGCTCTGATAAGCAGTATGAGTACAAGGGCAGGTGCTGCAACCGGTGTCAGCCAGGTATGGAAACCCCTTGCTGGAGACCTTGTGGCTGGGCTGTGCCAGGGCCCAGCTCAGTGTGACTGAGCCCCTCCACCCCTTTGCCAGCAGTGCTGACAGCGTCCCCTCCCTGTGCCATCTCAGTGCTAGAGCAACTGGGACCTTGTGGGTACTCTAGGAGACCCCCTGGACCTCACCAAATCTGCCACAGCTCTCTTGGGACTGTCTGTACTCTTGCAGCCACAGGACCCCATGGCGAAGGTGGCTTGCTGTGAGAGTGCTGCCACTGGCACTAGCAAACTGTGGTGGCATTTGCCAGCTCCTGCTGTCACTGTCAGATTGTTCCCCAGTCCCTGGAGTGCTCGAGTGCCCCCACAGCCCTCCCTCCCTGCCTTGGCCCCTTCAGCATGTACAGCCAGCAGGCAAACTGGCTCCTGCAGTCCTGGCTACTGAGCACAATGCTACAGCAGACCCAGTGCCCACAGCCACCAGCACTCCACTGTCCTGCTGGCAGAGATGATGCCTAAAAAGAGGGGAAGCCCCCTTACCCTCTGGTCACCAAGCATCTATTGCAGGGGAAAAGCTGGTCTCTGAGTGCAGTGAAACAGAAAAGTCTGTCTGCACCCTGTGTGAGGACGGGCACTATCAGCAGGGCTGGACCAAGGAGAAGCACTGTGCTCCTCATGAAGTCTGTGAACACCGTAAGTGGTCCCTGTGCCCACTGGTCCCAACCTGTGGGGACTGCAGGGGCTGACGTCCTCCCAGGTTCACCTGCCGGCTGTCTCACCTTGCCTGCTCTCCCTTTGCCCAGACGCCGGGCTCATCGTGAAGACACATGGAAATGCCACACACAACACGGTGTGCCAGTGCCAGCCTGGCACGCACTGCTCGGACACCAGCTGCCAGACCTGCGTGGAGAACCAGCCCTGCCAGCCCGGCTCCGGCTTCGTGGCAGGTGAGTCTGATGCCTTGGCAGCACCGACCTCAGGTGGTGCAGGGAACAGGGGCTCCCCCAGCAAGGTGCCCCTGGCAGGGCTTTGGGAGGGCTGTACCTGCTGCCACACCTGATAGCGTCGCCACAGGGCGTGCTGCCCACCTGGCCTCGGCAGCCCCTTGCCCCCCACAGCCCCTACTGACCTTCCTGCCACCTCTGCTCCTCTCCAGCCAAGGCCATGGAAAGGAAGACATCCCCCTGCGAACCCTGTGCAGAAGGCACCTTCTCCAGCATCTCTTCTAAAACTGAGCCGTGCCATCCATGGACAAGGTATCGTCTGAGTGCTGACCACGTCTTTCCCCCAGCTCCAGTTAGCACATCCTCTGCTGCAGGTCTCGGCAGCCTCAAGCACTGGGTAGCTGGGCTGGTCTCTGAGGGGCACAGCATTTGGCTGGCATAGGGCTGGAGCGAGAGGAGCAGGGCTAGGAGCACGGTGAAGTTCAGGGCAGCATGGCTGCAGTCGAGGCAGACATCCAGACTGTCCCTCAGTATGTGCACAGAGTGTTCGCCTCTTCAGGGGTATCCATCCTGTTCATCTGTGCTGGGAGCAAGGAATGAGGAGTGAAAGGGATGCCTCATTCCCTGCTCAGGGTTTCCTTCCCAGCACTCTCTGTGGCTGTAGTCATCGCCCAGGCACAAGCCCTCTCCGTGGGGAGTCTGGCTTTGAGGATGCCATGGGCTGGCACGTCATCCCTGTCTTTAGAAAGCTGCTTGAGGGGTTAATCGTACACCCTGGTAGAAACGTGAGCCTTGTTTCCAGGCTGAATTAGTCTTGCTTCAGCTGCCAGCCATTGGATTTCACTTTGCTTTTATCTGTGCCCAGAAATTACCTCCCCACGGAGCCACTTGTAGCCTGTCATCAAGTCCACTGTAAGCTTTTCTGTCATAGCTGCAGTGCCCAAGCCCTGGGGCCTCCCTGACCAGGCAGGTCTCAAATATTGACTCCCTCCTGTGCCTTGTCCCTAAATTTGTTCCTATCCTGAGCAGTTTCAGCAACTCCAGACCAAGATCCCAGGCTGGTATGCTGCTGTGTGCCTGCTGTCCCCATCATGCTGTGTCAGGGGGGGTCCCTGGCTACTCACCCTGGAGCAGGCAGGCTCAGTGCAGGACTCATTCTGGCACAGCTTGGGTGCCTGCCCAGCCCCAGCTGTTCCTGCCTGGGGGCTTTCCTTATGTTTGGGCTGCTGCTGTGGTTACATGATCTTCTTCTTCCCTGCAGCTGCGAGGAAAAGGGGCTGGCTCTGAAGGTGGAAGGGACAAACACCTCGGATGTGATCTGTGGTAAGTGCTCGGTGCCCAGGGCTCACCTGGTGCAAAGCAGAGACCTCCCAGGGCTCCGGCAACACTCGGAAGAGCTGGCCTTGCCCCTGGGTGTTTTTGGGAGAGGAGGGTCTGAGCGCATGGCTGGTGTGATGCTTTCCTGCCTCTCTGTCCCCGTGAGGGATCCCTGCAGGGCTGGGCCTGGTGCAGAGGCAGCTTGGGGCACTCGGTGTCACCGTGGGTGTCCCGTGGGTGCCCCACTGACCCCGTCTCCCCCCGCAGAGTCGAGCAGGCGCTCCTCGCTGTCGGTGCTGATCCCCATCACGGCCGCAGTCGTCACATGCCTCGTGGGCGTCTGCATCTACTGCCTGGTCCACACAGGTGAGGGGCTGGGGCACGGGAAGCAGTGCCTTGGCCAGAGAGGCCATACAGGGCTGAGGGGCTGAGCAGGGGAGGACAGCAGCAGCTCTGCTGAGAGTAGGGCAGCCCCTCTGGGAACATCACCAGGGCAGGGCTCCCCAGGCCCATTGCCCTGCTGGGTCAGGGGCTCTGTCCTGGGGAGCAGGCGCCTTGGCACGGCTGCAGCCCGAGCCAGTACAGCGGTGGTGCCCTGTGGGTCCAGTCTGGCTCCTGCCGTGGTCCCCAGCCCCCCCAGCCTGGCAGTGGGAGCAAGCACAACGAGTGAGCTGCAGGACCTGTGGTGCAGCAGCACCAGCCCTGGCTCTGACCCCGGGAAGCTCCCTGGAGGCTGGAGTGCTCCCTGCTGAATGTAGCCTTCTCTGTCCCTCTTTCCATCCAGATTCCAGACGACGGGTGCAGAAGGAGGTGAGTCTGCCCAGAGCCCCCCTTCAGCAGTAGGTTGGGTGGGTTGGGATCCCTCCTGGGCGCAGCTGGGGATGTGCCATCAGCAGAGCAGGGGCTGTGGCTTTGCAGGGCAGTAGGGGTGGGGGCTGAACTGGGCTGCCTAGCTGGGGGCAGGACAAGGGCTGGGGCAACCCTGGGGGACTGCTGGCAAGTGCTGAGCATTTGGGAGGGACGCACACAGAGCAACACTGTGGCAGTCATGGCAGTGTAGCAGGAGCCTGTGGAAAGGCACAGGTGCAGAGGTGGGGGGGATGTAGCTGCGTGCCCCTGACCCCTCCCCTGTGCATATAAAGGCTGGGATGCCCGGAGAGAACGCAGATACCCAGCAGCCCACGGAGGTGGATGAGAATGTCTTGCCTGTGCAGGAGACCCTACTCAGGGGCCAGCCCGTGGCCCAGGAGGATGGCAAGGAGAGCCGCATCTCGGAGCAGGAGATGGTGTGAGGGCGCACCATCCAGCAGGAGCACAGACTGGGAACAGCACCATCTCCTCTGTCCCCTCTCCAGCTGGGGAGGAAATCTGGCATCTGGCCTGGCTGCAAGTGATGTGATGCTGCAGTGGACCATGGCACGACCACCCCACGGGAATACTGCCACAGCCAGCGCCTGGTCTGGCCACCTGCCCAGGGCTGCCCTGGTGGAGCGAGGCTTGGCTACCCGCACAGGGACATGGAACAAGGCTCTGTCCCATCCTGCTGCCCAACCAGGTGCTGCAGTGAAGCCCAGCGTGGCTGCTCCCCTGCTGACCCCTGGCAGAGCCTGGTGCACCCTCCAGGGCTGCCACAGCAGGGTGTGACAGCTGATGGTGACACCGCAGCTCAGAGTCTCCCTGCATGCTGGGCATGCCATGGCCAGGAGTGGGGGCTGCAGGTGTGGGACCACCACGGCTCAGCCGCCTGTCCAGGGGGCTGTGGAAGTGCCACCCGTGCTGGAGCGGGGCCCGGCGGGTGCTGCTGCCAGGGCAGGGCACCGGGTACCTCGAACCGGCTCGGTCCCCCAGTGCCTCCCAGCGCTTCTGGGCTCCGTGGGATGAACCGGCGGGCCCGCGGCTCAGCTCTGGGACGGGGCGGGGGTCGGGTTCGGGTTCGGAGCGCGGACACCGGCGTGCGGCGGCCGGGAGATGGTGCTGCGGGACCGGCGCGGGCTGCGCGGGGCGGCACCGGCACCGCCCGCCCCCGCCCCGCCCCGCGTGGGCTCCGGGCGGGTTCGGGGGGCACTGGACCCGGGACTGCCCAGTGCGGGCCCCCCTCCCGCGGCTCCCCCGCGCACCCGCCGGTACGTGCGGGAGCGGCCGCGCTCCGTCACCCTCCACCCACCGCTGGCAAAAACCTGTGATTAAACGTCATTATTCACCCCCTATGAGTGAGCAACCAGCGCCCCCGGGACCGCCGCTCCCAGGTCTGATGCTCGGGGGATGGAGCAGGTGCTCCCAAGACAGATGCTTTAACCAGGGGAGAGAGGGAAAGCCTCCACTAGCTGTGCTGACCCCCACGGTGGCCCCAGGAACTCAGGAGCACACTCTATCTGGGCCCACGGGGAACCGAGGGTGCAGACAGGGCTGCCTGCAGCAGGCAGCTCTGTGATCTCGCCTCGCTGCTCCAGCAGCAGATGTACAAGTGGGGTCCATCCCACTGCAGGGTGCTGGGGGGCAGCAGCAGAGCTGCTGTGGCCTGGACTTCAGTGGCACCAAGCCCACTGCAGTCTTCAGGTACCGGGAGCAGCCACAACCCATGACCCACCGCCACCTGAGCACAGGCAGCACGACAGAGCAAAGGCCATAAATCCCAGAGCAGGAGCAGCTGGAACATGGAGCGACTGCCTGCGCAGGCAGTGGCACATTATTTAAGGGTCCTCTTAAAACCTAATGTTAGGTTTAATAAGGGAGATAAAAGCATGTCAGGAGCTTTCCCTCCTCTCAGGGCTCAGCGTTCCCAGCACTGCTGGTGGGGTGCTCCCAGCCTGGGCAGCGTTCCCTTGGCACCAGCCTAGAGAACACCCACTCCTGGGGACAGGTGTTACCCTGACCCTGCTGGTTGAGCAGGCTGGTGTCGTGTGGGCCACAGATGCAGAGTCTTTGGCCCCAAACATGAAGCCTTTGGCCCCAAATGGCCCCCTAAGGACTGTCTCCCCACAGTGGTGGGCTGGCCCCTCTGGGGCCACCTCCCCCAGGGCTGACCCTTCCCTGCTGGCACACAGCGTGTTCGGTGTCCACTCCTGCGTGTCAGACACGTGCCATCTCATTAGCCTGTCTGTCCCCCAAAGTGAGAAGGGAGAGCGTGTGAGGCCTAATTGAATGTAACTAATTATTCACTCTGCAAATGCTCTGTTTAAATGGGATTGTGAGGGACAGAATTACTCATTCTGAAAAGGGGAGAGAAAGAGAGAAAGACAGAGATAAAACAAATAGAGGCGGATGCTGGAGCTGCAGCTCTCTTTCTCCCCAGAATACCAATTACCGGATGAAGTGATTGTATAAATCTTTACCGAGTGAACGGACTGTACTAGTCACTTACTCCTGTCCTCTTATTATGAGGAAGCAATGAAAAATCATCCCACTCTCTCCAGTCCAGTGAAGGGCTCCCAGTCACTGTCTTGAATGCTGTCTGCAGCTGGAGAGCTTGGCCCAGGGCTTTCCCAGGATGGGGATCCCACTGAGACAGGGCTGAGCGCTTGGCAGGGGTGCACACCCCTCCTGCAGTCCCAGTCCTGGGGTGGAGCAGTGATTGTGCGTGCCTGGGGGAGTGGTGGGGCTCCTGGCCCTGCAGCAGCCAGGTGATGCCATACAGGACCCTGGGACATGGGGAGACACGGGCTAGTCAAGGGTGCCAGTGCCACACGCATGACAGCTCCCCGTGGACCCCGGTGCCCTGCACCCCAGGCCTTGAGCACGCGACTTCCTTGCCCTTCCCTTCTGTGCATCCAGCCCTGCCAGTCCCCTGGCCCTCTCCCTGGGCTCCTGCAGCACTCACTGAACAGGGAGAACGTGGTGCTTCCCGACCCCTTCGCACACTGCAGTCAATGTTTCTCACTCAGGGTGTCTCTGCTCCACCGGCTGCAGAAACTGCTCACCGGCAGCGACCTCCATCGCCCATGCCTGCCACGTCAGTTAATCCCTCCAAACACCCCCGCTTCTGTTCTCAGCAGTGGTGTAGGATGGGAGAGGAGGTCCTGGCTGTGTGGAGCAGGGAGAGGTGACAGACTCACCCCTGCACCCTGCCCAGCAGCGGGGAGCACCCACACCCTGCAGTCCTGCTGCACGAGCTGGTGAGGACCCAGACAGTCCCATATTCCGTGCACAAAACCCCAGACCCTCACTGCAAGGCACCCAGCACCCCAGGGGCTGTTTTAACGAGGTGAATGCCTCGTGGTCTCCACATCCTGCTGCAGCCAGGAACAAAGAGGCAGCAGCTCAGGGTGCCCCAAGGAAGGACTGCACTGTGGCATGGGTACCCCAGGGCCCTGTGGGTGCTGTGGCTCCGTGGCTCACTGGGAGAAGCTGCTGGAGTTGTGTGTTTGGTGCAAAACAGGCTGGGTACAAGTCAGTGAGGAGAGGGCGAAGCCTCCAGCCTGTCCTGCCTTGTCCCGGATAGGGATTTGATTGTTGCCAACAGCGAGTTTCCACACACTGGAGATACGTGTGCGTGGGTGTGAGGGAGAGATAACATCATCATCATCGTCATAACAAATGCAGCTGTGCAGCCCCATTCTCTGCTTATTGGCTTTCTTCTCTTTATCTATAAATAATTGCGGGGACACAATAGACTTTTAAGTCTGCCAAAGAGTTTGTCTCCCTCCAGCAACCGTATTGCCACAGTGCTGCCACCTTATCTGCTTGTAGAGAGATGAGGGTGGGAAAAATATTTACTGTCAGGGATATTTGTCATCTGCAAATTACCTCTGCCTACAATCCGCAGAGGGGATGGGGCTGACAGTGCCGATCTGCGCTGTAGGAGTGTGAGCACAGGGGGTCTCCACGCTGCCTGAGACCCACCTGAGCCTTTTCCCATTAGCTGGTGGGATGGGGAGCAGCGAGCCAGTAAAATCCACCATGCCTGCAAAGTCCTGTTCCCCCACAGGGATAAGGGATACAGTGGATGATGATGATGATGAACTAGGTGCCCAGCAAGTGGCTTGACACAGAGGAGCACCGTGATGGGACGACTGGGGCATTATGCTCAGAGGTTTGCCACGTTACCAGCCCTTCCCCCTGCACCCCCAGGCTGTTCAGTGTCCCCCAGCACAGCAGCTCTAGGCACTGACTACTGTGAGAGCCCCAAGCCTCACTACTCTCCTGCAAAGGCCAAAAGCTTCTGCTGCTCTCCCGGCACCCAACATCCCTGCCAACCCCGCTCTGCCCACTGCTGCCAACCCCACCAGCCTCGCTCACCGCTGGAATTCCTCACATCCTGCAGCCCAGGGGCCTCTGCACAGCACTTATCACTGCAGTATCCAAGAACCGATCTAATTGATGTGACACCAATTATTCCTGTATCACTAAATGCAGAATTAATGCATCTGTTTGTACAAGCCTCCCAGACCCTGACCATGAAATTATGACTTTGACATGAAAGGAGCCAGGGCTGGGAGCACCAGCTCTCAGCTGAGCCCCCACTACCGCAGCACTGGCCAGCCCTGCTGGGCCACCTCCCCGGCGGCCACACGGAGCATGCGGAATGCCTGCGGCATCCAGCTGTCTGCTTGGAGATTTGGGGCTTGTGGGTCTCCTCAGACCAAGCTGCAGCCATGGTGGTCCCACAGAGCCACACCAGTCCAGTGAGTGCTGGCAGAGGTGCCATGGCCATCAGGACAGCCAGCCTTGGGGAGCTGTGTGCTCTGCAGGGCAGTGAAGAGCCATTTCTGGGCTACTCAGTGCGGTCCATGCAGCCTGCAAAGCTCTTGGCTTGAACATGGACTGGTGCTGGGAAAAGCCATTCATTGCACTTGAAATTTTACTGTGAAATTAGGCTTTGCCTGGACATGCAGGGCTTGGCACAGGCAGCAGTTTGTATTTTGTAAATTGCTTTCTACAATCAATTAAAGAAAGGAGATGGCTGTGGCCAGGGGTGGCACATGAGACAGCTTCTCCTGGCTGGCTTCAGGTCCCTGCCACACAGCAGGGTTGGGCAGAGCCTCACCTGGAGGAAATTTAGGTGGGTAGCTGTGAGCGGGGGAAGAACGGCCCTGTCAGGGCTGCTCTGCTGCCCCTGGGCCCCCTCTGACTACCTGGGTGAAGGGCTTCTTGCCCTCCCACTGTTGGACACCTGTTCCCCTCAGCACCCCACTTGTAGCCATGGTCACTGCCACGCACCCCAGCTCAGGATGCACCTCTGCCTCTCCACACACCCTCCTTGCACCCTCCTTGCACTGCTGGCACGTCCCACAGAAGGGTTTGTAGGGCATGGCCCTGTGGTGTTCAGCACACGGAGGCTGGCCCCAGGCATTGGCACTCTGCCAGATAGTGCCAGCTTGAACTGGAGCCCTCCTGGAGACAAACCCCCGTCCCCTCCCAGCCTCAGCCCAACACCGGCTCCCTGATGTGGGCAGCACACACTGGTCCCAGCACCACTCCAGGGCAGCGGAGCAGAGAGGTCCCACGTGAGCTGGGGGATGCAGTGAGGCACAGCCAGCATGGCAAAGGTCTGGCACCCTTTCCCAAGACGTTTGGGCAGAGCACGGTGAGCACGGAACGTGTCGGGCTGCTCGGATGGCGAAGGGCTTGCCCTGGTTCTGGTTTGCTCAATGTTTTCATTAAGGACCTGGATGATGGAACAGAGAAAGTGCTTATTAAATTTGCAGATGACATGAAGCTGGGAGGGACTACAAGTATCTTGGAGGACAGGATTAGAATTCCAAATGATCTTGACAAATTGGAGAAATGGACTGGAAAAAATAGGATGAAATTCAACGGGGACAAGTGCAAGGCAGTACGCCGAGCCGGGAACAATCAGCTGTGCAAACACAGGCTGGGGATGGCAGGGCCGGCGGCACGGAGCCCAGCCGGGCATGAGGCCGCACAGGCGCGGGGCAGGCAGGGGGAGCATTGCCTGCTCACCCGGAGCTCCTTCAGGAGCCGGGGGAGCGGGGCCACGGGGAAGCAGGAGGAACGGATGGAGGGAGTGAGAGGAACCTCCACTGGCCTCAAGCACAGACTGACCCCTTGGAGCTGTGCCACAGGCTCTTCTGACGCTGCCCTGCAGTGCCCCAGGGGGGTGCCCCTACACTGACCCCAAAAGCTGCTCAGCCTTTCCCACAGAGCCCCACTGAGGGGATCCCCAGGCACTGGCACAGTTGGGGGGCCAAACCACCACC